GGGGAGTCTTACGTATGGTTGCATGGCTGCACACGGGCCATAATCACCCTCTCTCCGTTTCAGTGAGTTCACGCGAAATAAGCAGAGGTCTTTGGCGGGACGCTCCGATCCGCCTCTCGCTGTGCCCTTACCCTTTTTTTTTCTTTTTTTTTGCCACCTTCCCCCATCACGGCCATATGTGCGTCCAGCCCCAGCTGACTCACCTTTATTTAGTCCTCCTGGAGTTTTGGCAGAGTGACATTATTTGTTTAGCTCATCCCAAAGTTGAAAGCCGACACGATTCGTCTGAAATCTGATGAAACGTGACCGTCCAGGAAAGATTTAGATGAAGCAACGCAATTAAACTGTCACGCCGCAAAGCAAGATGAATGGAACTTTAACTGCCGATGACCCACTTAATCGCAGATGTTTTGTCTTCCCACATTTGGTGGAACTTTTTTTTTTTTTTTTTTTTGCCTCCTTTTGATTTCTGACATATTCAGCGTGGAGACGCCCACACCTTTGCTCTCCCGGGCTGTGCTTCTTGCAAACAAAATGAAATCACAAAGTCATTACAGGGAGTCCTTGCTCTTATCTTGAAGGAGATTTCCCCACTGTTGACTCACGGAAAGAGCTGCTTTTCAGTCGTTTACGCAAAATCATGTTATCACCGCTGCGGCTCGGCCTGGCATTTTGGCCATTTTCCAAGTTTTGCTATCCTTTGTGAGATGCCGAAAAAAATTGCTTCGCACCTTCAATGAATGGCCTATTTTGTAATTGTTTTCATATATTGGACGCACTGGATTATAAGGCGCAATCTACAATGCATCCACTAGATGGAGCTACGCTCCTTCCGTTCATGACCGCCTCCGAAAAACGTAAATGATTACTTCAATGAAACTACGAAAATTGAAAAAAATGCATCAAAACAGAAAATTAAGCGAGGAAATCACAAAATAAATTCTATAGCGCCCCTACAGAATTTATTTCGGCATTTCCTTGAGCGTAGCTCCAACAGAACGATCAGATGTCAGTAAAATGTACGAGACTGGACTGTCTCAGAAGTGTTTTGTTATTTATTCCTTTGTTGTGTACTGTATTCACAACAGTAGTGCGGAAACTACGGTACGAGAGGAAGCGATGCTTTTTAATTAGCGTCAGCACCACGGTGCCCCGATTTTCTTCGATGAAAAAGAAAAGCAAAAGGAAGGCGGGGGGAAACAAGCCCCAGACTTTGTTCCTTGATTGATTATGTTGCAAGAGGGGCACAGCGTGAGTTTAGAAAAAAATTCGGCAAACAAATCCATGAATAAAAGACACAACAAAGAGCGATTTGAATACTTGCACATGTGGAAGTGGTGTCGGCGTGTATTGGGGGGTTGGACTTTTACAGCCCAGATACACTAAGCGGGCGGTCGATGAAGGTGATAATTAGTGACTAGTCGACATCACACATTGTACCGTAGTAAAGTCGCCCAGTCAACTAGTGTGTCCAACCCCGAATGTTCAACCGTTGGCCGTTGTTTGAGAACAGAAGAACCTCATCATCCCGACTTTTCTTTCCAGACCATGATCCAGTCCAGGAAGGCTGGCCTGTGCCACACGTTGGCGACGCGGACCTCCCTCAATGACCAAGAGCTCGTGAGTCAAGTTGCCCGGTTGTGTCGGGGTGTCGTACAAAACACGAGTGCCGCAAAAGATCTGCCGTCTCTTTGGATTGTTGACGCAACGGATGCAAATGAACATCCCTGCCGATGAGTTCCGCCGCGTCCGCGTTTCACCGGCACCCGTTGCGGTGTTTCCCAACAGAAGTGCCACGTGTACAAGAAAACGCTTCAGGCTCTCATCTACCCCATCTCCTGCACCACGCCGCACAACTTTGAGGTGTGGACCGCCACCACGCCCACCTACTGCTACGAGTGCGAAGGGTTGCTGTGGGGCCTCGCCCGGCAGGGCATGCGCTGCGCCGAGTGTGGCGTCAAAGTCCATGAGAAGTGCCAGGAGCTGCTCAACGCCGACTGCCTGCAGCGTGAGTGGAAAGAGCTTCTGTCGCCGGAATCCGATCTGAGGGTTCACATGGACCCTTTCCCGCCGTCTTCCTCAGGAGCCGCCGAGAAGAGCTCCAAGACGGGAGCGGAGGACCGCACGCAGCACATCATCATGGCCATGAAGGACAGGATGAAGATACGCGAGAGGAACAAGCCGGAGATCTTTGAGGAGATCCGCCGAGTGTTCAACATGTCCAGGACGCTCCACGGCCAGCACATGAAGAACATCAAGCAGAACATCCTCGACGGGACCTCCAAGTGGTCGGCCAAGATCACCATCAACGGTACGTTCTTGTCCTCCATCACTGCGCCGCATGGCCGATGGGTGTCACTGTACTCCACACAAAAAGTTGGGAATGCAGTTTGGGGCTTTTGGGAGAAATTTTAGGATGGATTGCAGAATGCCTGACCTAACAGCCAGCTTGTAGACCAGGGCCTCGGGCTTGTGTGGCCACTTTAGAGTGCCCCGTTGTTGGCCATGAGTGCTGGGACATCACGAAGAGAAACGTTTTCACTATGTACCTTTTTCCATGTCTGACTTAACAGTCAGCTTGTGGACCAGCGCTTCAGATTAGTGCAGGGCGACCAAAGGGAGCCCTGATTTAACAAAAAAAAAAAAAAAAAAAAACTCAGTGCAAATGATCGCTTGGCCATTGTAATTTGTGAGCACTGATGCACATCTCTGCACACATAACCGATCCAACTTTACCTCACCGCAAGCCCGCTGCCGCCGCCTCCCGCGCATCCAGGATGCCACTGTTACCACGGCAACCTGACACGTGGCAGCGTGCAGTGGCAGTGGTTGTTGCCGTGGCAACCGTCACACCTTGTCTCTGTGCTCCATCAAAGGCGGAAACATCATTCAGACTCTTGTGGGTTTTTTTTTTTTTTTTTTCCCCCCTCACGCTGAGATCTTCATCGATGCTTGATTGAAGTTGAAATAGTTGCACAAGGTTGCTCAGGAAGTAGTCGCATTCATTCTCTTTTGTTACGCATGAAGTTAGTCACGAGAGTGTGTGCGTGGTGCGTTGAATGCAATGTGTTGTTATGCAATTTGTTTTTCCACTGGTGCGTTAGTTGTGAGCGCGCAGGGTCTCCAGGCCAAGGACCGGACGGGTTCCAGTGACCCGTACGTCACCATCCAAGTGGGCAAGACCAAGAAGAGGACAAAAACCATCTATGGCAACTTGAACCCGGTCTGGGAGGAGAAGTTCAGCTTGTAAGTTCCCTGTTCTATTCCTCACCAGCGATTTATTGGTTTTATTTTTAACCCTCCGCCATCTTTTCCAGTCAGTGCCACAACTCGTCGGAGCGCGTGAAACTGCGCGTGTGGGACGAGGACGACGACATCAAGTCACGGGTGAAGCAGCGGCTCAAGAGGGAGTCGGACGACTTCCTGGGCCAGAGCATCATCGAGGTCCGCACGCTCAACGGCGAGATGGACGTCTGGTACCACTTGGGTACGGTTGCCGCGCCGTGGCAGGACATCATTGTCGACACGCTACACCGCCCGACAGAGTCCCGGGATGTTTTGTTTTTTTTTTGTTCTTTTTTTGCAGTCGATGCTAAAGTGATGATGGCCGACGTCAGTTAATCGATGACATCAGCGATATTTTGTCAAGTCGCTGCGCATGGTTTCGCCATCAAGCACGAGCTAGCTCACTCGCTTCCTCGTCGTTCTCGGCTCCGGCAATTTGAGCGACAAGAAATGTGGCAAATGTGGCACCCGTAGACCCACAAAAAAGGTCCCAAGAAGCCATGAAGATAAAGACACAGTTATTTTTGATTGATTGATTTTTTTTTTAATCGAGCCACCACAGGTAGTTTTCACTTTGTAACTTGAGCTTTTTTAGACATGTCCATCAAAACAGTCTCAAGAAACCATTCCCGAATCTGCCATTTTTGGTTTGAAGCAAACATTTTGGCTTCGCCGAAGCCTTCGTGGCCTCACAGACAGTCGGAACGTGCGAAGCCGACGCCAAATCCATGACAGGCATCTGCCTCCGGCCCCATTTTGTTGTGAACCTCCATCAAGTCCGTTTTTGCTTCTTCCCAACCAAACACATGAAAGGCACGGCTATCCTACACCTTATAAAATTCCGCTCTGAGTTTATCCTCTTTTCTGAGCTTTGTAAAGCATGGAGTTGTCCCGATAATAGGCTCTGAAACGCGTCGAAGTCGACATTTTTTTGAGGGTGGGGGTATGTTTGTTTATTGTTCTGTATTTTTTTGCGTTTGCAGAAAAGCGAACTGACAAATCGGCGGTGTCGGGCGCCATTCGCCTTCAGATCAGCGTGGAGATCGAAGGCGAGGAAAAGGTGGCCCCGTACCATGTGCAGTACACCTGTCTCCACGAGGTAAGGCGCTTGCTTGCTTGCTTGCTTACTTGCTCCCCCTCCGGTTGGGGTGCTCGGTGGAAAAGTACCAAAGGGGCCACTTGTGGTGCGGTCCGCTAGAACATTTTCCACTTGGTGACGGACGTGGAGGGCGGCGGCGCGGTCAAGTTCCCGGCGGCTCAGGGCGACGACGCCTGGAAGGTTTACTTTGACGAGGTGCAGCAGGAAGTGGCGGATGAGTTCGCCGTGAGATACGGCGTTGAGCCCATCTACCAGGCCATGACGTAAGGCTACCGTCAGTCATTCGCGTTACATTGACGAGGTTCTGAAAGGGAAATGACCAATACGGTGCCAATTCCAATCTTGCTGAAAATAGTGTCGGGTTGAAAGATCAAATTATTATTTTTTTGAACATACCCTAAGTGGCAGCAACACATGCACACAGAGTAGACAATACTCACAGGCATGTATTCTTTATCCACTGCGAAGACTTGTGACCACTTTGTAAGTCAAGGCACTGCTGTACTTGACAATCTACTTATTTTCCGTGTGTGTGTGTGTGTGTGTGTGTGTGTGTGTGTGTGTGCGTGTGTGTGCGTGTGTTCATTCAGCCACTTCTCGTGCCTGTCGTCCAAGTACATGCTGTCGGGCGTGCCGTCCGTGATGAGCACGCTGTTGGCCAACATCAACGCCTTCTACGCGCACCCCAGCGCCACCACCACCAACGTCGCCGCACCCGCCAGGTTCGCCGCCTCCAATTTCGGGGTGAGTGCCACGACCATCAAAACGCCGTAGGACACAAAATAGTGACTATTTTGAGTTTTTGCAAATGTCGAATGCAACATTCTTCTCAGTCACCAAGACTTGTTGAGCCGTGCCAAAAACAAATGCGGTGCAATGCGGTTAAAACAGGCGCAATTTCGCCAAGCCTGTCGAACTGTGACGAAGGACTCATGACATTTCGACAGACTTTGGGAAATTCAGCCCCTGAAGCCAGTTTCTCTTGACAAGATGTAATTTCGTAAATGCGTCAATTGGGAGGAGACCCATAAAAAATTCTCAAGAAGACATGCTCAAAAAACACTGGAAGTCAGTTATTTGGTTTTTCGGCTCAAGACTGATGGACCTTACTTATTTATTGATCGTGTGCGTGTGTGCACTCATGTTATGTGGTGCACGTAGGCACGCAAAGAGGAAATATTTCAAGAGTTTGGCAGATTAGCTGGTCGGTGTTGCCAGGTAATGTCGCCATCGCAATTGTTTGATCCTGACATGAAACGAAAGGGGAAAGCCTCTCCAGCTTGTCGCTAAGCAACCAGCTTGTCTTTGGCCGCCCTATCAAAAGTGATGCGATAGTTAACATTAATGTTGAAAAATACTGACTTCTAATTTATTTCTTGCAGATGAAGCGTTGGGGGGGGGGGGTTGTCCTTCTTACTAACGTTTTGGCATTTTTTTTTCCCCCCTTCCTAACAGAGGGATCGTTTTGTCAAGCTTTTGGATCAGCTGCACAATTCGCTGAGGATTGACCTCTCCGCCTACCGAGTGAGTACGCAGGCAACGGACTTAGGAAAAAGTAGATGCGCTATAAATTGTGCGATCAAAACCGATAAAAAAGACTTTTTAGGAAGGGTTGGCACTCATAATAAGCGAGAAACGTTGCTTTCAAAAATAATTTAAGAAATCGGATTCCAATAAATAATGAAAGAAGGTATGTCCTGTTTTAGTTTTTTCCTTTTTGTTCTGTTTCTCAAAGCCACGCCATTTTTTTCACATGTTCAAATAAGAAAACGAAACTTTGTCAAAGGGATTCCGTTGAAAGTCGGTGTGCGCGCGTGTCCTCAGAACAACTTTCCGGCCAGCTGCAAGGCGCGCCTTCAAGATCTCAAGTCCACGGTGGACCTCCTCACCAGCATCACCTTCTTCAGGATGAAGGTACAAACCCGACGGCACTCGCTGCACTCGTTTTCTTCAGGCCGATTCACTCATTTCCTCGACAGCGTTGCCTTGACTTACAACTCGAATTGATTCCCTCACCGAACTTTGCAACTCAAGTGACTTGTATATATCGCTGGGATTTTCCCCTTTGGAATGTATTGAAAATCCATCACGGTAGTGATCAACATCAAGAAATGCAGTCAGTTTATGTTAGCAGCAGGCCCCTCGAGAGTGTTTTCACTTTTATTCGCAGGTTAGACCGTTTGTCCCATTCGATCGATGACTTTTTCATCGGAACAATTTGAGTTTGAGAACCTCGCCGATGGGAATGATACAGTCATGTCCAATGCGGTCCAGGTCCTGGAGTTGCAGAGCCCGCCCCGGGCGTCTTCGGTGGTACGCGATTGCGTCAAGGCCTGCCTCAACTCCACCTATGAGTACATCTTCAACAACTGCCTGGAGCTCTTCGACCGCCAGTTCCAAACCGCCGCCCCCGCCGTCAGTAAACACCTTACCCCTGCGCACTGTTTATTTTGCGAGCATGTCAAATTACAGGCCTTTGAAAAGGAGAAGTCAGAGTCCGTCCATTGATTTTTCTTCTTGCAGCCTGAGCCAGAGAAGAAGAAGGGAAAGATGGAGGGTGAAGACGAGGAGGAAGAGGAAGAAGAAGAGGAGAAAGACGAGAAGAAAAAGGAGAGCCAGCCTCCAGAGGAGCAAGGCCCGAGCATCCAGAATCTTGACTTCTGGCCCAAACTCATCACACTGATCGTGTCCATCATCGAGGAGGACAAGAATTCCTACACGGCCATCATCAACCAGTCAGTCTTCCTTCTTCTTGCTTTTGAACTCTTGTTTTGATCAAGTCGCCCACCGTCGACATTTTAACTTGCATCATGTCAAACTTTGCAGGAGTGTCGAGACAATTAATATGAATAATAATATTGCCGGATTCTTTTTCCAGAAAAAAAGGCATCTTTTCAAAACAGTTTGTCTCATTCAAAGACCTCCAACAAAGACAAACTACCCCAAGAGACAAACTACTCCAATTGCTAGCAAATGTCAACCACGTACGCTCGCTTGTAAGGAATTCAGTAGACGAGGCTCGGAGGCCCTGCAGCCTCGTCGGAGTAATACGATGGCATTTCTTGTCGAGGTTCTCAGTGACGATGCATCCAAATGAAATTCCAGTGGGCGAAACTTGTCTTGAGTATTTAAGACTTGCCAGGAAAGGCTGCCTATTGCAAAAAAAAAAAAAAAAAAAAAATTACCTTGAATGTGCCAGCATAACACACGCAACTCATGTGCTCCCCCTTCAGGTTTCCTCAGGAACTGAACGTGGGAAAAGTCAGCGCTGAGGTGATGTGGACGCTGTTCGCTCAGGATGTCAAGTATGCTCTGGAGGGTGAGATTTGATGCGCACGCCTTTACGAGTCTGTGTGCGCTCGTTCTATTTTTGTGTGTGTTTGTTTTTGCTCAGTCTGGTTCTTTTCTTCGCTAATCTGTGATCTTTCTCCAGTTTTGGCTAAAGGCGGTCGCTACCGCGGGAACGTAGGTGAGCGCTGCTTGTTAGCATCGTTAGCATATTAGCCGTCACGTGAGTGTCTAGAACGTACTCCGTCTCGTCATATCAGCGTAAAAAGAAGTGAATCACAATTAATATTCAACTTGAAAACCATTGTCTCCTCCCTACCAACTGTCAGCATGTTAGCATGAGGTCAATTCTCATTTGAAATCATGTCCAACCAAAAGAGGCCGTGAAGTTGTTGTTGCTCAACAGTTGTGCTTTAGGACCTCGTTTTGCGATGAGATTTTTCAATTCAGTTACATTTTGTTCAACTCTATTTGTGTCGCACTTTGTCATATCAAATGCAACTCAAAGATCCCAACCCAGGGAGATGCAGGGGACCCCCCCCCCCGCACCCCCCCATTCACCGAGCCAGGACCTCCCCATCGGGAATTTCTGCAAAATATTGTTTCTTTTATAATATTATTTTAAAACATGATAGAATGTTCCCAAACGGCCGCAGCGTTTTCGGGCCGGTCGTCGGCATCGAGGCCGGGCGACCCCCCCACCCCTCACCCCCCCACGCCTCCCACCACCAGCACTCCCCGGTCGCCATCACGATGTCACCGTCGCTTTGATGGCTCTTAATAATGCAGGCTCGTGTTAGTGCGTAATTTGTGTTGGTGTGTTCGAGGCTGCGTTTGGATCGCAGCAATCCATCATGGGAGCGTTTTCGCCACGTCACCGCTTTCTCCATCAAGTTTATCATCACCATCCTCCTCCTCCTTTTCATCTCTGCTGTCATTGTTTTTTTTGTTTTGTTTTTGTTACTGTTTTTGCCGTTCTGTCGCCATGGCAGCAACAGCTCCCGGCACCTTCCGCATCCGCAGAATAGAATTCCACGATGGTAAGCCCGCGGAATGCAGATTTCGGAAATATTGCACATCGTAGTTGTTAGATCAAAGGATGATTACCTTTATGCCTAAAAAGAAAGGAACGGGGGGAGATTGCTGGTAAGTATGGAAAGGGGGTTGCTAGTACAAAGGTCGTTTTAGGAAAGGAGATTTTCGTGTAAATTGGTTGCTGGTCTGTTAAGGAGGACTTGGTTGCTGGTAAGTCAAGTCCAAGTAGCATTGCTGGACAATTCAGGGTTAGCCGGTTCACTGTAGAAAGAGGCGATTGCTGGTAAGTGAAGGGAATGTGGGCTGCTGATGGTCAACGAAGAAAAGACGCTTCACTGGTGGCTAGCTGGTCATCTTCCAAATCAGTTTGTTGGTAAATTTCGGAAGTTACTGGAAAGCAAGTTGCTGGTGGAGTCGGGGAAAATGGAATTACTGGTCAATTTTCGGGAGGAGGTTTCTGCCACATCCGGGAAAGGAGCATTAGACAAGGGGTGTTGCTGGTAGATTTCGGTGGGTGGAATTGCTGGCAAATGTGTTCAGGAAAGGCATTTGCTGGTATGTTCTGCACGTGAGATAAGTTTGCCGTCAACTTGTCTTCCCCAGAGCACGATCGTCATCGTCTGTGCAAGCCTTCCGACTACATGAATCTTCACTTCAAGGTCAAGTGGCTCCACAACGAATACGTCTCGGATCTTGCCGCCTTCGCCGACGTCGTTCCCGAGTATCCTTCGTAAGACGCCGTCTTCCCCCATCCCCCCGTGGCTCCTTCACACCTCTGCCCGCAACGCTGTCCGCGTCCCACGGCCTGTTGTGGTCTCCAGGTGGTTCCAGCCCTTCGTCCTGGCCTGGCTGACCGAGAATGAAGACGTTTCCATGGAGTTTATGCACGGGGCGCTGGAGAGGGACAAGAGAGAAGGAGTGAGTCCAAGACATACCAGTCACCTCACGCTTTCTAAATTTACCAGCGGTCTCCTCTCCAATACCAGCAACTCCCCCTTTGCTAATCTTTCCATTGTAAAATTACAGCCCCCACAACATGAAATAAACTTACGAGCAGCACCGATTCTAAAGCGGACCAAGAATCTTTCCTCTGCGAAAGTCCCATTCCTGAAATTACCTGCAATTCCTGTTTTTCTAAGTCAAGCAACAATCTTTGCCGAACATCCCAGCAATCTCCGATTCCTAAAGTTACCAATTGCCCCTTTTCCGAAATTTGTCAGCAATCCCTGTGTTCCTTCATTTACCACCAATCACTTTTCCCAAATCTGTTAGTGACCCCGCTTTCCTGAACCGACATTCCCAAACTGACCGTCAATGAGTCTTTTCCGAAATTTACCAGCAATCGCCCTTTCCTAAACTTGACGACTTACCAGCTACCACTAAATTTACCAGCAATGTCCCTTTCCTTCACCGTTCTTTCCTAAACCTCGCAGCTACCCCCGTTTCTAATTTTACCAACGATTTGACTCTCATCAACTGACCAGCAATTACCCTAATCCCTAAATTTAGCAACAATCTCCCCCATTTCCGAACCTTACGAGCAAAGAAAAGGCATGAGTTGAAACTGCTTTAACACTGTCCGTCAAAGTCGACTTTCCCCAGGTTGCCAGAAGTAATTTCTTTTCTTCTTTGTCGTCTTCTTCTTTTTCTACCTCTCCCCCTGTTGTTTATTTTTGGGGCTCCCCAGTTCCAATCGACATCGGAGCACGCGTTGTTCTCCTGCTCGGTGGTGGACATTTTCACGCAGCTCAACCAAAGCTTCGGGATCATCCGCAAGCTGGACTGTCCCGACCCCGCCGTGCTGGCTCACTACAACAGACGATTCGCCAAGGTGACGTTGGGAGCTGAACGGATGATTGCCATCCCAGATTGCTGCATCTCAATTTCTCGTCTCGGTTGTCAGACCAAGAGATTAGCGTGATCACGGCTGTTAGCTCAAAGGGAAATGACCATCTTTAAAGTTGTAACAGCGCATTTTTCAGATCAGAAATTAGTTTGAATAATATTATTGTCGTTTATTGTCGATATTAGATCAAACTTATCATCTCGGTTCAACGTGATTGTTCAAGCAAATGATTGTCGTTGTTTATCGTCATCGTTAGGTCAACTCAACCGCATGTGTTACTGTGATCCGAGATGTAATGTTAGATCAAACGAATATCATCGTAGGTGTCAAATCAAAAGATGAGCATTCTCCGAGATGAAAGAAAGGACTTTGATGTTCTCATGACGCGCCGCCGTGCTTCTCGCGCGACGCGGCCGCTCGCCGTGCTAACGTCTTGAGCTAAAAGTAATTTTTGGGGTGTGTGCTTGTTGTCGTTTTGTTCAGACCATCAGCAAAGTGCTGCTGCAGTACTGCGCCCTGCTGGCCAAAAACTTTCCATCCTACTGCGCCAAGGAGAAGATCGTCAGTACACGAGCGTCGCCGAGAAGTCGACGAGGTCTCGGGAGGGGCGCGCTTCATTTTGTCTTGTTTTTTTTCTTTTCTTTTCGTGTTGTCGTGTTAGCCGTGCGTGCTGATGAACAACATCCAGCACATGAGAGTCCTTCTGGAGAGGATGTTCGAGTCCATGGGAGCAAAGCAGGTCAGTAACCTGTGGTTGTTCTACTGGTGTGCCAAAGTTTTCCTCCTAATGAGGACAAAGATGAACCTTCCCCTGGATGTCTTTGATATCGAAGGCATCGTAAGGTGGTACGAGTAAGCCAAAAGTGGTGCGAGCGGTGAGGGGAAAAAAAATGTACAATCGAGACGCAGCCTTTCTCCAAGTGTGCCCGAGTTATTCCACGAGTGTGCGGAAATGTCTTTCGGGCAGAGAGTGTACTAGTACGTGGACTCCATGAACTATGGAGTAAATGCTGATCTACGGTGTGAAGACGGGTGACCACTTTGTGATGCTTTTCAATCTGCTTTGAAGACGTTTTTGGATGATTTTCCAGTGTTTTATTTTCTTGGCAGTTTACGGTTGAAGAGGAGAGAGTAAGTTGCTTCTTAGATCCCCACAGCCCAGCCATCTTTTCCGCTCTTCATCCTTATAATAATCCCAACGTCCCTAGATGTACAACAATTCCCCTTACCTAATTGACAGCAATCAGCCACTCCCTTCATTGAGCAGCATCCCCTGACCCTGAAGTTACTTCTTTCACACTTTCGCAAACTTCTCCTCAGTCTCCCCTTTTCCTACATTGACAGCAATCGCCATTATTAAGAGCTGCAACAATACAGCTTTCCTGAATCGACCAACAATCTCCCTTTTGTAAACATAGAGTCATACCCCTGATCTATATTTACAACAATCTACCTTTTCTTAGTTTACCAATGATCCCAATCTCCGAAAATTACCGGCAACCCCCGCTTCCCTAAATTCACGACCAATCTCACTTTCCTAAATGTATCACAAATCCCCTTTTTACGAAACGTGCTATCCCTCTTACCTTAGCTTGCTAGCAACACCCGTTTCCTCAATTTACCACCAATCTCCCTTTCCTGAATTCAACAGCAATGCCTACTTTCATGAATGGATTAGCAATCTCCCTTTCCTTAACTGAGCAACCTTTTCCTAAATTTGTCAGTGACGTCCCTTTCCCTCATTTGCCAGAAATTCCACTATTGTGAAACATTCAATTCCCAGCGATTCTCTCCCTCATTTACCAGCAGCCCACTTTTCCTTACCGGAAATCCCCTCTCTTGAATCTACCAGCAATCAGCCCTTTCCTAAACAGAAGTCTACCTTTCCATTACTTGAGCAGTACACCCCCCGCCCCCCACCAGCCACCCCCCATTTCATTGACTTTTGTTGTTCGTTTGATGTTGAATATTGTTGCTTCTTTGCAAAAGTTGGAGGAAGAGGAGGATTTCGATGACGAGGTGGGTGTATCTGTCGCACGATCACATGACTCCACCTCCTCTGTAGCCGGGTTCATAGTTCAAACGTTTTTTATTGTTTTTTTTTCTATTTGCGTTTGCTCAACTCGCCCCCTACAGGCCAACAATGACATTGAAGGCTGTGATGATGATGATGATGATGACATGGTGGGTATGCTATGCTAGCTAGCTAGCGACACGGCACACTTTTGAGGTTATTGTTTTGTCTTTTTACTGTTTTTTTTTTTTCATCGGCTTCTATTTTTGACGCAGTCGAAATGCTCGGACTCAGAAGGCTCGGAGGTCAGTGGCAGCGGTCATTTTTAGCATTAGCATGGTTAGCATTGAACAATGACAAGGGAGGAAACAGGAAGTAGAACTAAATCTGTTTTTGTACATCCCTTCATTGTTCCATCTCTGTTCACGTACACGCTCAGATGGACAACAAGGACAAGGAGGACAAGGTCCGAGTGTGTGTGTGTGTGTGTGTGTGTGTGTGTGTGTGTGTGTGTGTGTGTGTGTGTGTGTGTGTGTGTGTGTGTGTGTGTGTTTTGTGCGTGCGTGCGTGCCACGTGTTTCTATTGTGAACATTATCTGAATGGGTTTTTTTTGTTTGTTTTTGTTGTCATCCAAAAGATTGAAGAGGAAAAGGTGAGCTGCCACAACGAACAACTAACAAAATAAATAGGAGATTATTTGACGTTTAAATGTTAGATGTTTTTTTAATTATGATTTATATACTTATAATCCTTCGTGCAGTTCAAATAAGATGCATTCATGTCATTCCTCGTTTTTTTTTTGTTTTTTTATCCCCTTGCATTTGTACAGCTGAAATCCGACATGGAAAAGGTGTGTGTGTGTGTGTGTGTGTGTGTGTGTGTGTGCGTGTTTGCATATTTATGTTTTGGTGTCTATTCTCTTATGAACGGTGACATTTCATTTTTTTATGTTTTGTGCTGTTTCTTTCTTATTTTCACTTTTGGACAGTTGGAATCTGAGGAAAAGGTGTGTGTATATGTGTGTGTGTGTGTGTGTGTGTGTGTTTTAAGTCGATACAGTTTCTGTGTCTTTAGTGTAGTGTGTGCAAATTTGGGGAATAATCCATGTACCGATGTTATGTATTCAAAATACCAAAAAAAAAAAAAAAAAAAAAGTTTTCTGTTCGAGCTACAGAAGGAAATGACCGATCTGTTTGTTTTGGGATTTTCGCTATACAAATGTATATTGTAGCAATATACATTGTTTATTTTTATTTTGTCAGATTTGGTGTGAGAGTAATCTCAAAGTAATGGAGTGTATTCGCGTCACATTACTTTAATAGCACTTGGCTTACGTTCCTAACTGCATTTTTTTAAAACAGGTAGCTAGCAACCGTACGCGTATACATACTTTTGAGCAGCGTTGGGCAAATTACTCCCATAATGTAATATGTTACATATTACTAGTTACTTGCATTTGAAAGTAATATGCTGCTTTACAATGCAACTCAGTAACTGTGGTCGGCGTGAGTGACGCGTGTGCGTTGTGTTGTTTCAGGCCGAGAAGAAAGACAAAGAGAAACAGGTCGGTTGGGTGGTGGGTTGCTATTTTGTTTTTCATGTTGTTCTCTTGCGTCGGCACCTTTCTTCCTGCCTCCTCGTCTTGTTCCTCCCTCGCTTCCTCGGACGCGTCTGGAAAGCAGATTGAAAAGCGTCCAAGGCAGACAAAACGCGGTGGCAGACCACCACAATAAATCCCAGCCGCCATCCAAACTGTCACCTCAAAGGTTCCATCCAGTGTGTGTCGTGCTGTCCAACCCACTCCGGACGACCCTCAACCTTTACTCGGACTCACCCCAGGCTGCGTCTCTTCTGTGTGTGTGTGTAATTTTTGGCCAAATTGGTGTGTGCGCGCGTTTGTATATTCCAGTTGGACACGGAAGCGGCGGACATCCTCAACGAGCTACAAATGAAACTCAACGGCGTACTGGATGACTTCAGTGTTGCCTTTGCCAAGAGGTACACACTCACGCGTGCGCACACACACACACACACACACACAAATCAAATCAAATCAGTTCTCGCGAGGTCATTTGTTTGTTTCTTCCCGCACGTGGACGGCATCTCGCTTGCTTGCCTTCAGCTTGCAGGCGCGCATCAGCGCGTGCATGCGTCAGATGTCGGAGCTGCTGTCCCAGATGAGAGGCCCCCCCAACCCCGACACGGCCGAGGGGGAGGCCGACGCCATGTTGAGGCCGCTCGTGGACTTCCTGGACGCCAAGTACGCCCCCCGCTTTCATTCGGCCTTCCCTGACAGCGGCGCGGCCTTCTCAGTTTTTGTTTGCATTCGCTTGCAGTCTGAGCGTGTTTGCAGACGTGTGTGAGAAGGCGGTCCTCAAGAAGATCCTGAAGGACTTGTGGAAGGCGGTCCTGAGCGCTCTGGAGAAGAGCATCGTGTTGCCGCAGAGTAACGACAGCTTGGTAACTGAAAAAAAAAAAGCACTTGAATTCTTGAAATCCCACTCCTTCTCTGAAACCAAAACCCGAGTTTGAAACCTTAATTTGATACGGTAACCACGTCTTGAAACCCTAATCCGTGTTTCAAACCTGCATATGAGAAATGAATCCAGTATTGAAACCCTACTCTGAAAACCTTATCCCTGCTTGAAACCCCAATTCGAAAGCCTAACACTACCTTAAAACCTTAGTTTGAAACGCTAACCTTAATTTGAAACCTTAACCCTTGATTAAAGTTACAACCCATTCTTTAAACCTTCATTTGAAAGCTTCACCCTGTCTCCAAACCCTAATCCAGGCTGTAAATCCTACTTTGAAACATGGTTTGAATCCTTTCCTTCAAACTCTAACCCTACCTTCAAACCGTAATTTGAAATGGTAACTCTGTTACCTTCATTTAAAATCCGAACCCAATCTTCAAGTTCTAACCCAGGTCCAAAATGCAATTCGAAACCCCAAATCTTGCTTGAAACCCTAATTTGAAACTTTAAACGAAACCTTCATTTAAAATCGGAACCCAATCTTCAAGTTCTAACCCAGGCCCAAAATGCAGTTCGAAACCCGAAATCTTGCTTGAAACCCTAATTTGAAACTTTAAACCTTGTTTGAAATTTGGAACCGTGATGTGGAAGTTTAAGACTGTCTTGAAACCATAATCCGGGCTGGAAAGCCAAATTAAAAAGCCCAACCCTACCTTGAACCTGTGTTGAAACGCTAATTTGAAGTCCTCACCCAATCTTGAAACCCCAGTCCTCTCTCGAAAACCTAATTGGAAATTCTAAACCAGGCCTAAAACCCAATTTAAAACCCTAACCCTTCTGTAAAATTACAACCCAGTTTTAAAGTTCCTGTTTGTATCCTTCCTGAAACCCTAACCCAGGCTCAAAATGGCAATTTGAAACCATAACACAGAAAATCAAACCCTAACTTGATACCCTGAACCAATCTTGAATCCAGGTTTGAATCCCAAACCCTTGTTTGCAAGGCCCAATTTCAAACCCGAAACCCTGACTTGAAACCTTAACTTGTCAGTGTCTCTTCGATCCTTCTTGTTAGCCGCACGCTGCATGCGGTTTGACAGTAGAAGCTCTCCTCTGCCATCTGCTGGGGGCTATGAAAAAAAACACATTCGCTGTCAGCGGTTTACACTGGGCAGGAAAATGACAGCGACTCCAAAAATCAATCAAATCAATCATTTGATCACTGCTGTCGGTGACTTTGCAGGGTGCGCAGATCCTCACTGCCGCCAAAGGACTCTCCAACCTCAAGGTAAGTCCTCTTAAGATGAAGGCGACGACGGCGGCGGCAATGACGACCACGAGGACGTCGACGACCCCGTGTTTGTGTTTCAGGGCGGCGCCGGCGGAAGCGGCGGCGAGGCCAAAACGCTGACGCCCAAGCAGTGCGCCGTGGTCGACGCGGGCCTGGAGAGCCTCAAGGTAGGCGGAGCCATCCTGTCCCTTGACCCCGGGCTTCAAACAAACGGGCGACTTCCAGTCGAGTTGAGGAATTTGAACCCGGGGTGAGGGGAAGCGGTTCAGGCCCGGGTTCGGGTTTCTAACGCGGGTGACGGGCATCGGTTTTCAAATTGATGCTGGAGTTTCAAACACAGCTTTGGGATTCAGTCCCGGGTTGAACTTTAACTAATGCCGGTTCGGGTTTCAAGACAGCGTTTGGGTTTGAAAGTCAAGTTGGGGTTTCAAACGAGGGTATCAAGGCAATCTTAAGGTTTCAAACTCAGGTCCTAAAATATTCATAACATTCGAAACCAAACTCTGATTTCTAAGAGCCAGGGTTAGGCTTTTAGAGTAGGGCTGAGATTTTAAGTCCAATATTCAAGTCCGGTTTAGGGTTTTGAAGGGGTGGGGGGGCATTGGTTAGGGTTTCAAGCCTATGTTGGGGTTTCAAATGAGGATTCCAAGTTGTAATTTTGAGGTACGGCTTTCAGCCTGGGTTGGGGCTTTAAAGTATGGTCTGCAACTTGGTTAAAGGGTTCCAAAATAGGGTTTCAAGTCTGGGCTAGGGTCCCAAAATAGGGTTTCAAGTTCAAGTATGGGTTTCGAAACTGTGTTAAGGGTTTAAGTCAATGTTCGGATTTTATCGGAGGCTTTCAGGCCTGGGTTGGGGTTTCAAATTTGGGTTGCAGTTTTCTGTTAGGGTTTTCGCTGGTGGGTTCGGGTTTTAAACTTGGGTTTCACTTTCAAGGGCTAACATGTAGCTCATGCTAAAACGCACAATCAAACTTCTTGTAGTTTTCATGTCGCCATACACGTCGCCGATGGCGTGGTGGCGCGCTCGCCTGACTTTGTGCGGCCAGCGTGGCATCGCTTCCCGCTCGGCGCCGCGCTCTTCGCCATAAGCGCCGTCGACATCCCGAAATACACTTTGGCTGAATATGATTTTTTTTTTTTCTTCTTTCCCAGCAATATTTCCCCGCCGGTGGCAACGGCTTGAAGAAATCTTTTGTGGAGAAAAGTCCCGAGTTGTGTTCCCTGCGTTACGCTTTGTCGCTTTACTCGCAGAGTACTGATGCCCTCATCAGAACTTTTGTCAGCTCGCAGCGGGAACAAGGTCACCATGCGCTCGCTCGCTCGCTCGCGCACACGCACACACACACACACACACACACACACACACACACACACACACACACACACACACACACACACACCACACACAAAAAAAGAAGTCAAACAGGCTTCACTTTTACAGTCTTGCGTAAAGTATCTGAAAGCAATACTCGAGTAAAAGTATCTTACAAAATGCGACTGAGATGGTTATGAAATGATAGTTTCAAGTCGGGGTGAACATTTTAAATTGGGGTTTCTAAGGAGGGTTTTGAAATTGGGTTTTTAAGTTGGAGTGAGGCTTCTAAGTTACGACTTCAGCCCAAGGCTTTGGGCTTGAATAACCCTTGTTTCAAGCCTGCTTTAGGGTTTCAAACAAGGGATAGGGTCCCCTGTCAGGGTTCAGGTTTCAAGTCTGAGTTAGGGTTTCAGCCTGTTTTATGGCTTCGAACCACGGTTAGGGTTTCAAGTCAGCGGTATGGTTTCACGTTAAGATTTAAGGGTTAGGATCTTAAATTAGGGTTTCAAGAAAGGTTTATGATTTCAAGCTAGTGTTCTGAGGGTTAGGGTTCCAAATGTGGGTTTCAAGGTTGGTTTAGGGTTTTAAGTCAACGTTAAGGTTCCGACTCCGGGTTTCAAGCCTAAGTTAGGGTTTTAAACAAAGGTGAGAGTTTCGGTCTCGGGTTGTGATCCAGGGATATGGTTCTGAATTTAGGGTTCAAGCTTGGGTTACATTTTGGGTATCAAACGGGGTTTCCGGTTTCGAGACGGGATTATCGTTTCGAGGCTGGGTTCGAGGTTGAAGTCAAAATTAAGGTTTCTAATTAAGGTTTGAAGCGCTGGGCTCGGGTTTCAAGACAAGATTGCGGTTTCCAGCCTGGGTTGGGTTTTTAGGTCAAGGTCAGGCTTAAACTTTTGGTTCGGGTTTCAAATGAGGGTGTGTGCTTTTCTGTTTGAGGTTCGGGAGTGGAGAACCCGATCGGCGAAGTCGTGCTGCAGGTGGACGTCGTCGCCAAGGAACGCAAAGTCGGCGTCAAAGGTGACGGTCGCTCCGTTTCGCATTTAAGAGCGCCACGGTGGCGCTGGGAGACTTACCGAACGGTCGCCGTGTCGTTCGTCAGTGATCGGCGTCAATGACCTGCGCTGGCAGACGTCCGGAATGTTCCGCCCCTTCGTGGAAGTTTCCTTGCTGGGGCCGGCGCTGGCCGACAAGAAGCGCAAGTTCACCACCATCCCTGTCAGGGTTAAGGTTTCAAGTCTGAGTTAGGGTTTTAAACAAGGGTGAGAGTTTCAGTCTAGGGTTTGTGATCCAGGGATATGGTTCTGAATTTAAGTTTCAAGCTTGGGTTACATTTTGGGTATCAAATGGGGTTTCCGGTTTCGAGACGGGATTCACGTTTCAAGGCTGGGTTAGAGGTTGAAATCAAAATTAAGGTTTCTAATTAAGGTTTGAAGCGCTGGGCTCGGGTTTCAAGACAAGATTGCGGTTTCCAGCCTGGGTTGGGTTTTTAGGTCAAGGTCAGGCTTAAACTTTTGGTTCGGGTTTCAAATGAGGGTGTGTGCTTTTCTGTTTGAGGTTCGGGAGTGGAGAACCCGATCGGCGAAGTCGTGCTGCAGGTGGACGTCGTCGCCAAGGAACGCAAAGTCGGCGTCAAAGGTGACGGTCGCTCCGTTTCGCATTTAAGAGCGCGACGGTGGCGCTGGGAGACTTACCGAGCGGTCGCCGTGTCGTCCGTCAGTGATCGGCGTCAACGACCTGCGCTGGCAGACGTCCGGAATGTTCCGGCCCTTCGTGGAAGTTTCCCTGCTGGGGCCGGCGCTGGCCGACAAGAAGCGCAAGTTCACCACCAAGTCCAAGAACAACTGCTGGAGCGCCAAGTTCAACGAGAGCTTCCAATTGTCAGTCGCACACACATCACCTCGTGCATAGAAAAATGGGTCAGGTCTTAAATGCGGTTTGAGTTCGTGTGTGGATGAGGTCTGGGTTGTGGTTTCAAGACGAGGTTAGGGTGCCAAGAGAGAAGGGTCAGATGTCACATGAGAGTTTAAAACAAGGCTCGCAATTTCTCATTAACGTTTCAAATTAGGGTTTTGAGACACAGCTATAGTTTCAAAGTCGGGTCTCAAGCGTGGCTTTCAAGTTTGGCTTTGGGTTTCAAACAGATTTAGGGTGAGAAATGACGGCTTTTGGTCTGAAACAAAGGTTATGGTTCCAAGTTAGGATTTCAAACGAGAGTGAGGAGTTCATCATTTGGTTTCAAGACTGGAAAGGAGGGTTTCAAGCTTGGCTTTGAAGCCAGTGTTTCAAGACGAGGCAACGGGTGTCAAGTTATGCTTTTAAATAAAGGTTTAGTGTTTGAAAGTGGGGTTTCAAGTTAAGGTTTGCAGCCGGGGAAAGGGGTTCAAGTCAGGGTGAAAAAAAACAGATTAGGGTCAAAAAGCCTACGTTAGGTTTTCAAAGTAGAGCTTCAAGACGAGGTTAGGGTTTCAAACTCGGGCTATAAACTAGGTTTAAGGGCAGTATTTGAAAGTAGGGTTTCAAGTTCGGTTTTGAAGCCGGGGTTGGGTTTAAAAAGTCGGGTTTCCAGCCTGCCTGAGGGTTTCAAAGTCGAGTTTCAAGACCAGGTTAGGGTGTGTCAACTCGGCTTGAAACAAGGTTTGGGCTTTCAGATTCAATTTGAGGCCAGACTTGCCATTTGAAAGAGGAGTTTCAGATAAAGGTTTAAAAGTGGTCTTTTCAGCCGGTGTTGGGGTTTGAAAGTAGGGTTTCAAGACTAGGTTAGGGTAAGTAAGAGTTTTTAAGAACGGTTTCGGGTTTAGTTTAGTAGATTTCCAATTGCAGCGTTGCAGCCAGGTTTCGAATTTCAACGTTAGAGTGTTTGAACCCTGAATGAGGGTTTCAAAATAAGGTTTCAGAACGACTGTAGGGTTTTAAACAAGGTTTAGGGCTTGCAGCCAGGGTAAAGGTTTGAAATGAACGGGCCCCAGCAAGTGGGTGTCCCTTTTGTTGATTGCTGGCCCTTGTCCGAGTGTGCTTTGCACTAACGCGCGCGTTGTGGCTCCTCGCCAGCGCGTTGGGCAAAGAAGGCGGCGAGTGCTGCGAACTGCAGGCCTCGGTCAAGGACTACTGCTTCGGGCGGGCCGACCGGGTGGTGGGCGTGGCCGTGCTGCAGCTGCGCGACCTGGCCGGGCGCCGCGCCTGCGTCTGCTGGTGCCCGCTGGCTCCCGCAGCCCCCCCCGACC